TATTAGTCAGGGGGCCCAAAAAGAGGGGTTGTTGGGGTGGTTTGGCCCCATTTAGAGAGAATGGATCAAAGTAGAAAGACATGGGAAAACAATAAAACTATGGGAAGGAAGGGGGGGTAGGGGGGCCCTCCTCGGGAAAGGGGTTTGGGGAGAGGGGGGAAAGGGGGTTTTTTTGGGGAATTTGGGCCCTTTGGGCTTCCAGCAACGTGCGTGAGCGGTTTTGATAGGGTTTAAGGAGACGAATGGTAATTGGGAAACCCGACGATCTGTTGGAGTTGAAACAGGGTAATATTTAGTGAAGGGGTTCAGGGAAACCGGTTTTTTTTCATAATCGGAAATTGGGGTCCTGGAAAAGGGAAAATACAAAGCCCACTTTTTTAAAAGGGGGGGTTTGGATATTGGAGTTTGGAGGGGTATTTTTTAACTTTGGTGTATCTTTTAGACTGTTGTAATTTTGACACCTCTCCCAAAAAAAGTGAAATGGCGAGTGTGGGAAAGTGTTGAATTTATGATAAGATTTTTTTTTGGGGATTTTCCCTTTTTTTTTTTTTGGGCACCCTTCCTCGGGGGAGACGGCCGACTTGTTTTAAAAAAAAAAAAAAAAAAAAAAAAAAAATATATAAATATATATAAAATATATATAATATATATATATATAAATACCCGTGGACCCCCCTTAAAAAATCACCTCCAAATGCGACCAATTATGTAATTTTATTTAAGGGAATGCGTTTGTATGTGTAAAGTTTTTGGGGGGCTGAAAGGGCTAAACTACTTCACAATATTCCCCTTGGGAAAAAATTTTGGTCGTACGGCACCTGGGAAAATACACTGGAATGAAAAAAGCCCTTAAAACCGGGGGGGCCACTGTATTAGGGGTTTTGTTGTGGGGGTGTGTGTGTATATATATATATAAAAAAATATATATAAAAATAATTATAAAAAATATAAAATAATAATAAATATAGCAAAGGGGGAAGTGTGCTCTAAAAATTCCCCAAAAGCTGGGTTGGGAAAACTCATCAAAAGAAACCAAGGGCCACAGGGGGACCAGCTTTCCTTTTTCCCGAACTCATTTTTTGCGATCCAAGAGGAAAAAAGCCTGCCCCATTCTGGGCCCCGCGGCCCCACCGAGGGGGGCGGGCAAGTATTCCCAGATGTAACCCGGGGGTTACCTTGTTTTTTAAATTTTTTCAATTTTTTGTGAAAGTTTTTGTCAAAGTATTTTTCTTTTAAAAAAATATATTTTACATAATAAGGGGGGGTAGGAGAAAAAATTCCCCAAAAAGCTTTTAGGGGAAATCTTGATTTTTCCCGGGAAAACGAGTTTATTTTTTTTTTTTTCTGAGGGTAGGTCCCCATGACAGTTTTCTAAGGGGGTACCTCCCTATATTTTTTATTTTTTTTTATATATATATATTTTATATAAATTAATATATATATATATAAAATTTTTAATATATATCCTGGTAGTAAGGGTTTTTAGACAAAACAACCCCCAGGGGGGTATTTAAACCCTCCTGCCAAGTGAATGTAAAAAACTTGGGAAACCTGTAACGTTTACACGAAGGGAGGGTTGGGTGGGTCTTTTTTTTTCTGGGGCTCATAAAACATGCAAGATTTCAGGGATGTCTTTCTAATTCTCTTACACTTAGGTCACACTTCACATAATTTTACAAGCACAATATACACACCCCTTTGGGGTTTTTTTCTATTTTCTTTCTAGTTTTTTTTCTTTTTATTTCCTCTTACCCTCCATGGGGGAAATGGAACAGAATTCTTCCCCCTAAACCATGCTTTGTTTGAGGGGACTAAAATGCCGGGGGCAAGGGGGTAAATAACCTCTTCTCCGTATATATTACAAAAAGTAAAAGGAAAACTTTTGTTTTTCCCTTTTGGGGCCCCCCTGCCTCGGGGGGATAGGCCGGTGTTTTGAAAGAAAAAAAAGAAAGATATAAAATTTATAATATATATATATATATATAAAAATAATATATATAATATTTATATATATATAAATAATATAAAAATATATATAAAAAAATATATAATATATATTTTATTTAAATTTTTTTTTTTTTTTTTTTTTTTTTTTTTTAACCAAATTTGGGGCCCTCTCCCACCGAGCAGGGTGACCCAAAAAAGAAAAAAAAATCCCCAAAAAGAAAATACTTTCATCAACATTCAAAACTTTTACCACACCCACAAATTTTTCACTGTTTTTGCAGAGGGGGCTCAGAATACAACAGTCTAGAAGCATAAACAAATAAAGAACACAACCTAACCCTCCCAAAAAAGCCAATATCCCAAAATATAATATATATAAAAATATTTTATATATATAAAATAAAATAATATTTTATATATATATATAAAAATAAAAATAGTATATAAAAATAATATAATATATTTTTAATTTATATAATAAAAATTTTTTAAATATATTTATATAAATAAAAATTTTTTATAAAATATTTAAATAAAAATTTTTTATAAAATATTTAATAATATAATAAAAAACAAAAAAATATAATATATAATATATAAAATATATATATATATTTATAATATAATATATACACACACAACACACACACACAAGACTTGATGTTTTCCAAAAAAAATGAAGTGCTATGGAATGAAATTTCCAACTTTTTTAAAATTCCCCCTGTTGTGGGGAACCCATACTTTAAATTTTTTTTACATAAGCAAACACATACTTAATTTCCCGGTCATCCAACAAATGATACCTCAAAATCTGGAGTTTTGTTTTATTTACACCAAAAAATTTAAAAAATAAAAAAAAATGGGGGTAAAAACTTTATGGTTTGGAAAAGATGTATTTTTTTTTCCCCCCATAATAAAAAAAGTTTGTAAAATCTTTTATTTGATTTTTAAAAGTGGAAAAATCTTTTTTGGTTTTTTGAAAAAAAAATAAAATAATATATAAAAATAAAAAAATTTTCATTATATATAATATAATAATATTTAAAATTATAGGTTATCTATTAAATTATTTTTATTTATAAAAATTTTATAAAAATTAATTTCCCCCCCCCCCCCCAACACACCCAAAACCCTTGGGTTGTTTTCCCCATTTTAAAAAAAGTCTAAAAAAAAGGGTTTTTCCAACTTTTATACACCTGTTTTCCCAATATTCCATTTTTACATTATTCACTACTTTTCCCTGTTTTCCAACTGCCCTTTAAACTTAATTTTTAATACATTTCCATTTATACAAGAATATTTTAACGGAAACCCAAACCTTTTTAAAAAAAATTTTTTTTTAATTAACCCAAACCTTCTAAAGGGCCTTTAAAGAACCGGAATTTTAAAATTTTTTCCCGTTCCCAAAAACCTTTTCGAAATTAACTTTTTTAGTAATTTTTTAAAAATCCTTTCCTTTTCATTAGGAAAAACGTAATATATTTGACAATGCAATCACCCTTAGAGGACATGAAGCCTCATGGTATAAAATAAGCTGACAGCATGTTGGTCATGTGATGGACTAAACCATCAGTACAGTACAGTATTCCCCTCAAGGAAGGTTCATTGAGGCTGGTGAGGGGCTCTTGATCTAGGGAATTGGATCTGTGTTCCAGTTCCCTGAATTGAGCCTGAATACCTTCCACATTCCCCCCCCCCCCCCAACAGGCACTGTATAATCCTATGGGCTTAGTGCTTCCCCTTTGATTATAATAATACAGTACAGTAATCACAGAGAAGGAATAAACTAACGTTTCATACAAAACTGTCCATTCTCAATATTCCAGTTATTACATTATTCACTGCACATTTTTCCTGTCTTTCTTAGCTGTCTCTGATCACACATTACTATATTTAATGACATCATCATATATACAAGAATACTGTACTGAAGGCGTGAACCATAACTTCTGGTTATAACAATCCCATATCTTGAGATTTTTAATTTAACCTGGCAATAATGAGGCATCTAGATGAACCATGGCAGATATACAATTACCATGCCTCTCCTAACACATTACCATTTACAGCCATTAACTATAGTATTTTTGAACTCTTCTCCATTTTCAGTTATGAATGAACAAGGAAACCTTCGAAAATATGTACAAAAATCAGAGAGCATAAAAAAAAAATAGGAAAAGAAGAAGGCTTACATTTATATATGGACAATACTGTTAGAAAAATGTAGTAGTGGATATGGAGACCAAACTTAATATAAAGGTTTAACATGAGTCAAGAACTTCAGTGAAAGTCAACTGATAAGGGGTGCCTCATATATCGGTGCAGTATGAATCTGACATCATGGCTAGTATATATGTATGCATAATGTGGAACTTCATAGAACTAATTATGGCACTAACAATGTATCTGTAGTACTTGAGACTTGCTAAGTGCAACGCTGAAAATAGGATGAAAAGTATAAAAGCATGTGGAGCGAATAGTCGATGCAATTAATCGAGTAAAAATTTAGTGAAGTTCACTTGGGAATATAGCATTTAGAAAAAGAAATCTAAAGGAAGCCAAGATAGTACAAAAGAGGGGATGAGTAAGAAGACAAATTTATGAATATCTAAAGATTGAGGATGTGGGTACTTTTTACAGTTCTGGATTAGCATCCTTAAATTATATGATCTACTAAATATGACAAATGAAACATGTCATCCTTACTCTCTTGCACGTCACTGGCAGAATGAACACATTTAAGCACTAATTCTTTCATGTTCTCTAGGGAGAAGTGGAACAGAATTCTGTGTAAGCCATGCTCGTCGTAAGAGGTGACTAAAATGCCAGGAGCAAGTAACTAGTAACCCCTTCTCCTGTATGTTACTATATTTAAAAAGAGAAACTTGCTATTTTCTTTTTGGGCCACCCTGCCTCAGTGGGATATAGCCAGTTTGTCGAAAGAATTCTTTCATGTAGTGACCTGTGCATACAGAATCTAGAAACAAGTAAACTCTTAAGAGCTAACAAGTAAAAACAATATACCACATTAGTTTTTGCACCTAACACTTAAAAAAAAAAAAGTGAATTGCAAGCATTTTATTCACTTGTGTGTTAAAAATCATACAAGTGTATATGAATGAAGATTCTCACATTTCAAACTATCTAAACTTTACTCGAGAGCATTCATAATCATACCATGTTTAAACATTTGGTGGAAGACTTGCCAATCACACCACTTTGCTCTTTCATCAGTTTTGATGCAAACATCCAGGTATCATATATTCATTAACCAAAATATTTTAATTAAAAACCTTACTACATCCATCAAGCTTTAAATGCAACCAGAGTTGGAGACAATTTACTAAAATAAATACAAGAGGGAGTGGGTGATAATCTACTGGAGCAATACAATGAGTAATGGACAATAATTTACCAGAACAAATGGCAAGCAATGGGTGCCAATCTACTGGAATAAATACAGCAGAGTAGGTGATAATCTATAGGAAGAAAAACATAGCAAGGAGTAAGAGTTAATCTACTGAAAGAAATATTACAAGTAGTGGGCGACACAATGGAACCATCTGTTAAGAATATCTGATCAGTTTTGATACAGGGCAAGGCTAGTACGATAATTTATAATAATGCTTATATTTTTACTATGTGACTACATATTAAAATATTTCTAAGGGCAAATTAGTCTATTCCTAGTCATTTAAAGAGTATATGTGGAAGAGTTTAAACAATAAATTATCAACCTTAACTCGACTTAGTTTGTAGTAGATTTGCGTACTGATTTTTTTGAAGAACTTGTGCTAGAAATGATAACTGTGCTGCCAGCCCCCCGTCGCATTTTTCTGTAAAAAGAAAATTAAGAGATTCTAATGTTAGAGAGAAATCATCAATTATCTATACACCTATCACTTGTTAAATATGGGGGATATAATCCAAGAAAAAACATGTAATATTAATTATGTGAACCAAGTTTTACATATTAAAAAGGGAGGGGAAAGGAAGTGGGTTAAGGTTATCGGGTTGTCGACCTTTACAACTAACTAACTCAGAATAAAAGTTACTCAGTCACCAATATCAATCATGGCAGTTTACACCCCCATCTCTCCACCACGACAAGGTAAGTAAAATTAATGCAAATTACATAGTTCTATAAATTACTATACAGTACATAACTGTACTGTAGTACTACAGGTTACAATACCCATATTCCTAGCATCTGGTTGTCTTCTGCATAAGTGGACCAGTCCACTATTTCAGAAGAGAGCCAAATGATCATGAAAATATTAATTCCACAATTCAGGAATTACAGACAATTGGCATTACTGCACATGCTTCTTTCTCCTATTAGTCCATTACTGATAGGTATCACTATACAGTGGTACCTTGACTTACGAGTGCCCCAACTTGGGAGTCTTTCGAGTTATGAGCTGTCACTCCATCGATTTTTTGCTTCGAGTTGCAAGCCAAAATCCAAGTTACGAGCGAACTCCAGATATGCCATCACTAATTGGCGGCGTATCTGAGTAAGATCCAATGCTGTACCCAGAGAAATGTCAGGTACTTCGTCCCATCCCACACGCTCTTCTAAGACATAATTGGAAGGATAATACTCCCACACTAATTCCAGATTGTAGCGAGGCACCTTGTCCTTGGTTTGGTTCTTGTATAAATCTGGGGAAGCGGTAACCTCCATTTCAACACTCAGTTTTTCTAGAAACATTAAGAAGGGTGGAGTATTCATGGTGGTGGGTGGAATAGTGAGGGTGGTGGGTGGAGTATACAATATTTCTTATTTATAAATACATTTTTCTTATTTAAAAACCCCCTAACGAAAAAATTGGGGTGGTTCTTCGGGGCTGGAACGGATTAAAAGCATTTTAATTTCAACGAGGAAAATTGATTTGATATACGAGCAAATTGGGTTACGAGCACTGTCACGGAACAAGTTAAACTCTTAAGTCAAGGTACCACTGTACTATATTCAGAGTAACTGCATACGCTAAGAGCTCACATCCAAACTACAAGCTAACTCCATGGTCAAGTGAAAAGTTTGATTTGTAGCTTTATATTAGGTTTGCATGACCCTTGTGGGTTTAATGTTTAGCTTTGATTTTAATAATAATAATTAGAGGAAGGTGTAGGTGTATAAAGAATTTAACTAAAGTCACCATCAGTAAAGTTTGATCAAGTGCTTCACCTGCATAAACAACCTGCCTTTCTAATGCTTTTACCATAAATGCATAAAAAAATTTCTGCACATATACTACATGGATCCCCCTGCTTAATGATCATTTCTTGATATCAAATACCATACGAAAATACACTGCAAAGCCGCTGTTTTAAACCAAAAACATCGAGTTTTTTTTTTTCTCATTATGCACTGCGTGCTGCAGAATTTTTTTTATACTGTGCACACTGACCACACACACCCATTCTTTCATATGCAGGCTTACCAGCTTTCTTTCACCAGATCTGAAGGAGCTAGAATTTTGGCATAGTATTATGGGACAGACACTGGCTCTCAAGGCGAAATATTACAGGACCGACACTGAAAGGGTTAAATACGTATATTGTTTATCACCTAACAAGTCTCCACAGACAGAAGTGAATCGGCTATTTCTACATGAGCAGTTGACAGTATTTTCACATCCTCTTCATCAGTTATAATACGAGGAAAGTGGAGATAATATTTATATAAATTGTTGATCACCTCAAGAGGGGGTCTGATCATGTCTGAGAAGCAAGAAGCATGTCATTATTACATACTGCACTATCAGCACTCCATCCTCCACTTACTAGAGACAAGTCCATTGTTAAGCAGTCATAGTAATATGATTCCTCCCACTATGTAAGTGCATAACTCAAAAATCCATGAAAAAATTATCAGGATAAAAGAAGTATCATACCATGTTTTTTGTTACTTTTGGGTTGAAGAATAAGGCTCATAAGCAGACTATTGTCTGGTTGAAAGAGTGCAATGACCAAATGGCTGTCTTAACCCTTCAGTTCAACAATAAAATCAATGTGAAACATCTCTTAATACATTGAAAATTTTTAAGTTTCTTATTTTTTTTTATTATCACACTGGCCGATTCCCACCAAGGCAGGGTGGCCCGAAAAAGAAAAACTTTCACCATCATTCACTCCATCACTGTCTTGCCAGAAAGGGTGCATACACACAGTTTTTTAAACTGGCAACATTAACACCCCCCTTCAGAGTGCAGGCACTGTACTTCCCATCTCCAGGACTCAAGTCCGGCCTGCCGGTTTCCCTGAACCCCTTCATAAATGTTACTTTGCTCACACTCCAACAGCACGTCAAGTTAAAAATTAAAAACCATTCGTCTCCATTTCTCTCCTATCAACACGCTCACGGTCACTCCTGCTGGAAGACCAAGCCCCTCGCACACAAAAACCTCCTTACCCCCTCCCCCAAAACCTTTCCTAGCCGAACGACCCCCTACCCCCGCCTTCCTTCCACACAGACTGATAACACTCTTGAAGTCATTCTGTTTCGCTCCATCTCTCTCTACATGTCCGAAACCCACCTCAACACACCTTCCTCAGCCCTCATGGACAACAGTTTTGTACTTCCCGCACCTCCTCTAACTTCCAAAACTACATTCTCTGCACTACATATTCACACCACACATTGCCCTCAGACATGACATCTCACTGCCTCCAGCCTTCTCCTCGCTCAACTTCCTTCACCATCATCACACCCATAGAAGAGTGTTGGTAAAACTAACTCCCTCATACATTCCCCCTCTTGCCTCCAGAAACAAAGTTCTTTGTCTCCAAAGACCCTAAGTACACCACTCACCCTTTTTTCCCCCTCATACAGTTCTATGATTCACCTCAACCTTATAGACCCATCCGCTGACACGTCCACATCCCAAATATCTGAATACATTCACCTCCTCCATACTCTCTCCCTCCAATCTGATATCCAATCTTTCATCACCTAATATTTTGTTATCCTCATAACCTTACTCTTTCCTGTATTCACTTTTAATTTTCTTCTCTTGCACACCCTACCAAATTCATCCACCATCTCTGCAACTTCTCTTCAGAATCTCCCAAGAGCACAGTGTCATCAGCAAGAGCAACTGTGACAACTCCCACTTTATGTGTGATTCTTTATCTTTTAACTCCACGCCTCTTGTCAAGACCCTTGCATTTACTTCTCTTACAACCCCATCTATAATATATTAAACAACCACGGTGACATCACACATCCTTGTCTAAGGCCTACTTTTACTGGGAAATAATTTCCCTCTTTCCTATGTACTCTAACTTGAGCCTCACTATCCTCGTAAAAACTCTTCACTGCTTTCAGTAACCTACCTCCTACACCATACACCTGCAACATCTGCCACATTGCCCCCTATCCACCCTGTCATACGCCTTTTCCAAATCCATAAATGCCACAAAGACCTCTTTAGCCTTATCTAAATACTGTTCACCCAAATCCATAAATGCCACAAAGACCTCTTTAGCCTTATCTAAATACTGTTCACTTATATGTTTCACTGTAAACACCTGGTCCACACACCCCCTACCTTTCCTAAAGCCTCCTTGTTCATCTGCTATCCTATTCTCCGTCTTACTTTTAATTCTTTCAATAATAACTCTACCATACACTTTACCAGGTATACTCAACAGACTTATCCCCCTATAATTTTTGCACTCTCTTCTGTCCCCTTTGCCTTTATACAAAGGAACTATGCATGCTCTCTGCCAATCCCTAGGTACCTTACCCTCTTCCATACATTATTAAATAATTGCACCAACCACTCAAAAAACTATATCCCCACCTGCTTTTAACATTTCTATCTTTATCCCATCAATCCCGGCTGCCTTACCCCCTTTCATTTTACCTACTGCCTCACGAACTTCCCCCACACTCACAACTGGCTCTTCCTCACTCCTACAAGATGTTATTCCTCCCTGCCCTATACACGAAATCACAGCTTCCCTATCTTCATCAACATTTAACAATTCCTCAAAATATTCCCTCCATCTTCCCAATAACCTCTAACTCTCCATTTAATAACTCTCCTCTCCTATTTTTAACTGACAAATCCATTTGTTTCTAGGCTTCCTTAACTTGTTAATCTCACTCCAAAACTTTTTCTTATTTTCAACAAAATTTGTTGATAACATCTCACCCACTCTCTCATTTGCTCTCTTTTTACATGCTTCACCACTCTCTTAACCTCTCTCTTTTTCTCCATATACTCTTCCCTCCTGCATCACTTCTACTTTGTAAAAACTTCTCAATATGCTAACTTTTTCTCCCTTACTACTCTCTTTACATCATCATTCCACCAATCGCTCCTCTTCCCTCCCGCACCCCACTTTCCTGTAACCACAAAACTTCTGCTGAACACTAACACTACATTTTTAAACCTACCCCATACCTCTTCGATCCCATTGCCTATGCTCTCATTAGCCCATCTATCCTCCAATAGCTGTTATATCTTTCCCTAACTGCCTCCTCTTTTAGTTTATAAACCTTCACCTCTCTCTTCCCTGATGCTTCTATTCTCCTTGTATCCCATCTACCTTTTACTCTCAGTGTAGCTACAACTAGAAGTGATCTATCTGTGGCCCTCTATAAACATGTACATCCTGAAGTCTACTCAACAGTCTTTTATCTACCAATACATAATCCAACAAACTACTGTCATTTCGCCCTACATCATATCTTGTATACTTATTTATCCTCTTTTTCTTAAAATATGTATACCTATAACTAAACCCCTTTCTATATAAAGTTAAATCAAAGGGCTCCCATTATCATTTACACCTGGCACCCCAAACTTACCTACCACACCCT